CCGAAAATGTCGGAAACATTATCTTGCATGACCATGCTGTAGGTCATGTAACTGTCTGTTACTGTACATGCAATATGCTTTGTGGACATCATTGGACAGAGGTTGCTATCCGGTTTTGTGATAAAACAAAGGTGTGGTTGAATTTAGGGGGGGGGGGGGGTTCTTGGCTTCCCCAGTGATTTTACCCACGCACCGCTACTGCATCCTACTCACTAATATATTCACGTCACCAAATAACTGATTAAAACACACTGTTTTGCAATGAAGGTCCACATTAGCCTCAACATCACTCTTTGGGGTAGCACCATGGTGTAGACGGAGGACAGCTATTTTCCGTCCTCCTCTGGGTACATTGACTTCAATACAAAACCTAGGAGGCTCATGGTTCTCACACCCTTCCATAGACTTACACAGTAATTATGACGACTTCCGGAGGACGTCCTCCAACCTATCAGAGCTCTTGCAGCATGAACTGACATGTTGTCCACCCAATCAAAGGGAATGAATCTAGTTCTGAAAGCATATGCTTCAGCTAGCTAGAGAGAGCGAGAGCTATATTTAATTGTAATTTTTTCACTTTCACTTACTTAGCTAGCTAATTCAGCTAGCTAATTTAGCTTACTCAAACACCTGGCTCAAACAGAGAGGAACGCTATTTATGTTAACTAGCTGGCTAAGGCAATCCAACACTGGAACTCTTCCAAGTCAAGGTAAGCTTTCGGTTTAATTAATTTACTGGAACCGGGGCCCACCGGAGTAACTGCTAAACTGCTTGCTGTACACTGTACTGCGTGATTGTAGCGGGTTTACTAACGCATTAGATCTAGTAGCTATGTTGACTATGATGTTAGCTAATATTGTGACAACGATTTAGGCTGTGTGTAGCAGTTAGAGGTTATGGTATGAAGGTTTGGAAATATTTTTTCACCTGGTCACAGACAGCTGTTGTGTTGTGCACTGAAGTCCACAAGCGAAGGGAAAAGTTGAGAGGAGGAGAGCGCGTAGATGCTGGAAGGAATTATACAACGAGCAAAGTGATGATGCTGTTTGTATGTGGCTACTATGAAAGTGAACTGTGTGTGCGGGGGATCAGGGGTATATTCATTCCGCTGATTCTGTTGAAAAACTTTTCTTAAACGGAAGCAAACGGAACGAAACTGGGATAAATCTACCTGAATTTGTCCAATAGAAGAAACTCTTGTTTCCAACTGATTGGACTAATGATTTCACCCTAGATCAGCTAGATGCAGGCAAGAGTGTGCAAGGCTGTATTGAATGTGTCACTGTCTGTCACCTTGATTACTCCAATTTGTCTCTCGAGCTGTGCACCTTAGTGATAAACAGTCATTTGTAGGCTAGGTTGTAACAACCTCATGATGGGTATAGGGAAAATTTGAGTATCATGTAGTAGCCTAAACCTATCGATGTTACATTGAGCTGGGCGAATGGAATATGAATGACAGTCATCCAATATGCTGAAATAGAAATAAGGCCATGGTTATTTAAAAAATAATTGTCCTCCCTAATCTTAAATGGTACTGACCGCCACGGACTCTGATGATAGAGATAAATGTGGAATAATCGGAAATGTGTAGTTCTGACTATGCTCTTCAAGAGGTGATGATATTAAAACTAAATAGTTATACAATTTATTTAACAATCCATTGAAAACGGCGTAGTTGTCAATGGTTTTAGCGGAGCTTGAGATCTCCTTTCCCCCCAGCAGGCAAATTAAACACTGCACCGTATTGAAATTTTATTGATAACGACCTATAGGATCTCTATGAATGTAACCCAGTGAGATGAAAGCCAGACTACTAGCAGAGAACAAAGAGCACAATGTGTCATCATGCTGCATGGCTGAAGGAACATGTCAGTTCTTCACAAGAGAAACTCAACATGAAGAGAGGAACATTGTACTGTCTTGGAGTTGTGAAAATGTTGAACCAATATGTAGCTTTCATTTCATACATTTCAAACATCACAGTGGAATTAAGTGCAGTAAACTCAAGCCATTACATTACTTTTGATGCACAGTATGCACAAACTTGGAACATACAGACTTGCCTGGTACATTAATACAAATAATTTGCAATTAATTAAAATCAGTCTCTATGATCACTTTCTTCTAGGACGTTTGAAATGTAAGCTTGTGTATATACAATGAAAGGTACATAGGCCTACATACAGTATTGGCATTTTCTCTGCAGTAAACTAAGGTTGCCACTAAAAAGAGTTGACTACAATGATACATGGCTAACATCACAGAAATATAGATAAATATACATTATGTTAATAGTGTTTTAGTATCCCTGCCCATCTATACACTAGAGACTAGTCTCCCATCCAATAAAAATATGCAAGTTAGACAATTATAAATTATATGTGCGTTACACAACCACTTTACTTGACATATTTTAACCAATAAGCCGAGGATACCTACCTAATAATTCAAAACGCACACAGATGATCCTGACACCAGTCATGTTTATAATACTGGGTTATTACTGTACATACAACATGGTTTATGTATGTACATACTAAAAGCCCTGAGAAATACATAATGCATTTTAATATGGTGTGAGAAGGCAGAAATATACTGACTTCTGAGGAGGTACAGTACCTACAGTATACTGTAGATGAATATGAGGAGCCATGGCACCATAGAAATAGAATTAGACCACTATGCCCTGCAGTCTGCTCTGGCAGAGTGAGGGCTGTCATACGGTGCCGTGGTTGTGTGCACTGTGCTCTGCTGGCACTAACCCTAAGGATACATACAAATCCTCTGACCGCAGGCCTTCCCAGGCCCCACCGGACCATACACAGCTCAGCCAATTCAAGCACTCTGATCTGAGGGATCTGGGAAAGACTCTGGCTTGGAGGAATTTGTCCATGCAAATACATCCCATTTCCTCTGACAAAACACCACCACATGACCAAGCCTCAAGGACCCTGCCTGATGAGATTCTTCTAGGGTCAAGTGGTCCAACTATTCTGGCAAGGAAAGCTTTCACTTTCTGGGGCTTTCATGGTTCAGCAAGACTCTCAAGACACTCTGCGTGTAATCACATCTTACTTATCAATATGCAACAATTCAATTTATTTCAACATTTCTAGACCAGTCCATTCCCAATTAGTAATATTTACTGACAACACTGAAATGTTCCAGGCAGTAAAGTGTTCACAGTATCTTCAATCATTTTGTATCTGAGACATCATTTGATAACTCTAACAGTAAGGGTCACATGCTTTGGTTATCTTGCCTCTGAATTATAATTTGATATTCACATTTGATAAGACATAAAATATAGTCAATTAATCTCTATGCCTGTATGTGTGGTGCCTCGTTCCGGACCCATCAATGTCCTTTAATATCAAAAGTTAACATGAGGATCAACAAGGCTGACACCTAGTGGTCACAAGAAGAGCCATCCGATTGGTACAGAATTCACAACTCTACAGCATAAAACTAAACCACCCGGGTTAAATAGATTTTCATCTGATCCCACAGATAGCAGTAATTTTACAGATAACACTGACTCTATAATATGAACTAAAATGCAAATTAAATTCCCCCAGATTTTACCCTGAAGAATCGAATTATCATCTTCCTCTGCTATTTTTCACTTAAAAGGGAACTCAAGCTTTTCCCACTTGATAAGCAGAAGAAGTAGATTGTCTCATAGCTGTTATCATACGTGATCATCTCTACTTTCATGAAGTGTCAAGAAGACGGGACCTCTTTATCAGAGGGATGGTGAAGATTGAGTGAGGGCACCCTGTGGACATTCTCAAAAGAGATGAGTTACAGAGTAATATTCCATAACTGACGCACTAGACACAAAAAGAGACAACAACAACAGTCGCTAAATTACAACTACACAGCAATATAACACTTTTACTGCAGTCAATCATGAAAAGCTCAACTGGATACCTATTACCTATTGTGCACTTGACCCAATGACATTTCTGCAAATATGTGTTGTGCTGTAGACAAGAAAGCCTTTGGATGAGCTGAACCAAACTAGAGAGGCTTTTAGGCCTAATTGCCATGAATGGTGGCCCACATCTCTGCTGTCACTCAGTACTTTGGAGTACCAAAGTGCAGTGAATTCTCCACCCATTTTCATTATACTGAATTAACTTTTTCATGCTAGTGTATTTTTCTGCAATCAAGTAAAGAGGAGGATGGCCGTGGGCTCTTGCACTACCTCCCATTATTAAAGCCTAGAGACATAGCACATGGATTTCTAATGGAGGCTAAACCAAGGTACACATCGTAAATTGGAGCTGCTCTTAATTCGACTATAACTGAAAGCAGTCATAATATGGCTTAACTGAAGAAAAGTATGAAGTGCGGCATCTGGTAATTGAACACATCCATTAGCATTCCGGCTCAGCCAAGTGACCACGGGCCCCAGTCACGGCTAATGACGAAGATATTACCACCTTCATTTAACTGCACAGAAAAGACTGGGAAGAAGAGTTGCTTTTATGATCTCTAAATACCGTTTCTTCATCCCCTGGGTATTTGGAAACCTTATCACAAAAATATCCCGCTGCTGCACAATCTGGAGATAGCAGCAAGCAGCAGGAAACCAAAAGGGACAGCTTAGTGAAAATAAAAACAGAGCCCTCCATGGAGAGCTGAGCCTCTCAGGAGATAATGGAGACTGGAGATTTATTCACACACAGTATCGGATCGCAGAGAGAGAGGGGATTTGAGTGGAGGACCAGGACGCTGTCGCGTCTGGAGTCTTTAAAAAAAAAACTTACCTGAATGTTTATGGAGACATGAACACTAGGAACAAACACACACTCACACAACACCACCATCGGCTCCCCAATAAATTTATACCACAGTGTAAACAGAATGAAGATTATTTCGTTGTTTGAACAAAAAGGGACGTTTCCAAGTTCCTGTGTGGAATATGGGGCAGTAGTGTATTAACACTCCAAAAGATAAACTGCTGATGATAATGAATTCTACAACACTTTTATTGCATGTCTTGAGACCTACCTGTTTTTGTCAATGGACTTGAAAACAGCTGCTGCAGAAGTTTGTTCTCTGATGTTCTCAGAACCACAACAATGTCTGCAGGGAGAGTGTCTCGGTTCTTCTCAAGAAACCCGTTCACATTGTACAAGACCTGCATGACAGCACAGGGATAATCAACTCAAACCACACCTGACAAAAGACAACCTATCCAACTGTATCAGTCGGCAAACAGCAATGAAACATACTGATCCATACCTTTCCAGCATAATGCTGAATTCCAAAGCAGAGCTCAACACGTTTTGGTCTCCAGAAGTACTTGTAACGCAGATTGTCCTCAAATTTATCTGAAGAGAAAACATATTTTGTGGGTAACAAAAACAAAAAATCAACTGCTTGATCAAACATAGATCTTTTCACAGCCTTCTATGCAAGGCTTCTTTACAAGGCTTTGGTTGTTTTAGTACACATGGACTTGACTTGATCTGCTTCTGAGGCCTTGTGTATTGTACAGTGCATTCGGAAAGTATTCAGAACCCTTGACTTATTTCACATTTCGTTACGTTATATCCTTACTCTAAATTGATTAAATATTTTTTTTTCCACATCAGTCTACACACAATACCCCAAAATGAAAAAGCAAAAACTTTTTGGGAATTTATTACAAATAAAAAACAGAAATACCTTATTTACATAAGTATTCAGACCCTTTGCTATGAGACTTGAAATTGAGCTCAGGTGCATCCTGATTCCATTGATCATCCTTGAGATGTTTCTACAACTTGATGGGCATCCACCTGTGGTAAATTCAATTGATTGGACATGAATTGGAAAGGCACACACCTGTCTATATAAGGTTCCACAGTTGACAGTGCATGTCAGAGCAAGAACCAAGCCTTGAGGTCGAAGGAATTGTCCGTAGCGCTCCAAGACAGGATTGTGTAAGGCACAGATCTGGGGAAGGGTACCAAAACATTTCTGCAGCATTGACGGTACCCATGAACACAATGGCCTCCATCATTCTTAAATGGAAGAAGATTGGAACCACCAAGACTCTTCCTAGAGCTGGCCACCCGGCCAAACTGAGCAATCAAGGGAGAAGGGCCTTGGTCAGGGAGGTGACCAAGAACCCGATGGCCACTCTGACAGAGCTCCAAAGGTCCTCTGTGGAGATGGGAGAACCTTCCAGAAGGACAACCATCTCTGCAGCACTCCACCAATCAGGCCTTTATGGTAGAGTGGCCAGACGGAAGCCACTCCTCAGTAAAAGGCACATGACAGCCCACTTGGAGTTTGCCAAAAGGCACCTAAAGACTAAAGACCATGAGAAACAAAATTATCTGGTCTGATTAAACCAAGATTGAACTCTTTGGCCTGAATGCCAAGCGTCACGACTGGAGGAAAACCTGGCACCATCCCTATGGTGAAGCATGGTGGTGGCAGCATGATGCTGTGGGGATGTTTTTCAGGTGCAGGGACTGAGAGGCTAGTCAGGATTGAGGGAAAGATGAACAGAGCAAAGTATAGATACTTGATGAAAACCTGCTCCAGAGCACTCAGGACCACAGACTGGGGCGAAGGTTCACCTTCAAACAGGACAACGACCCTAAGAACACAGCCAAGACAACGCAGGAGTGGCTTCGGGACAAGTCTCTGAATGTCCTTGAGTGGCCCAGCCAGAGCCTGGACTTGAACCCTATTGAACATCTCTGGAGAGACCTGAAAATAGCTGTGCATAGATGCTCCCATCCAACCTGACAGAGCTTGAGAGGATCTGCAGAGAACAATGTGAGAAACTCCCCAAATACAGGTGTGCCAAGCTTGTAGCGTCATACCCAAGAAGACTTGAGGCTGTAATCGCTGCCAAAGGTGCTGTGTCCCGAGTGGCGCAGTGGTCTAAGGCACTGCATCGCAGTGCTAGCTGTGCCACTAGAGATCCTGGTTCGAATCCAGGCTCTGTCGTATCCGGCCGCGACCGGGAGACCCATGGGGCGGTGCACAATTGGCCCAGCGTCGTCCTGGGTAGGGGAGGGAATGGCCGGCAGGGATGTAGCTCAGTTGGTAGAGCATGGAGTTTGCAACGGCAGGGTTGTGGGTTTCGATTCCCACGGGGGGGCCATGAAAAAAATAAAATTAAAATTATGTATGCACTAACTGTAAGTCGCTCTGGATAAGAGCGTCTGCTAAATGATTAAAATGTAAAAAAAAAAAATACAAAAAAAGTGCTTCAACAAAGTACTCAATTTTAGAATAAGGCTGTAAAGTAACAAAATGTGGAAAAAGTCAAGGGGTCTGAATACTTTCCGAATGCACTGTATAGTCTCACAATACTATATATACACCCTGTAAACACACTCACGCTACCTTGACACTCACACAAAACCTACACACATTCACATACACTACATACGCACACACATAACACACACACGCATACCAACAAAACACACACACACACACACACATTTACACTCATCATATGCTGCTGCTACGTTCTTAATTTTACTCTCATTATTATCTATCCTGATGCCATTGTATTCAGCATATGTGACAAATAAAAATTGATTCAATTTGTCTTACCCACTAGGGTCTGGTCGGTGGCCTGAGGGAAGCGGCTCTCCTCATCCAGCAGAGAGAGCAGGCCCATGGGCTTCTGCAGGAACATGTCCAGATAGGACGGTTGTCCTCATACTCCACCAGGCTGGCATCCACCCCCTCGCTCTGGTACTCCATCTAATTAAAACACACAGAACTTAGAACATTGCACAGTTAATGATTTCACTAAATAACCCAATGAAACAATCTAGGCTAAATAGGATTTGTGCATGTTAAAAAATATATACAGTTCTTAAGCAACAGCACCACTGTGCTGCAGAGAGACACTCCAGTTCTTTTTCTATGGCTGAACTTTATAATAAAGTCAGTCGCTGAAATTATACAGAACTGTTCTGAAATAACAAATAGAGCCACGTACTAATTCATAATTTAGTTCCATTTGCAAATAACCCAGAATCAGATCACATTATTGCATATGCTTAATTTAGATCAAAAAGTTATTTTAAATATATATTTTACTAATAAAGTGGTACCAATGGATCTAAACCGTCCTCATGTTTAAATCATTAACTTAGAATAATCAGCTTCTGTGTACCACTGGATTGAAGCCATTTTCACATTATAAAAATCCCTTTTCCGCTAAGCACTAGCCCTACATCGAAAGCAACTAATACTTCTACGTAATAAATCATGCAGGAAAGTTGCCAAGTTAAGAACCAGGAATTAAGTATGCCTAGTTAAGCCTTGGTATACAAATTCTTCCTAAAAGACACATACAGTAAATATACAGGACCGTTTCAGAACACAACCCCAATATAGTTAAGTTCTTCTCTATTCATTAGACTGAATAAAGTGATCACATCATAAATACCAGCTCTCTCTAATTCCCTTGAGAGGAATTGCTAGAGAGCAAACATTAAGACAAAAGGACATAACAGCAAAAAGTGCTCTTGATTAATGTCTATACAGTGTTGTCAGTGAAAACGAAAAGCTCCCACACTCCAGGGTAAAAAGCTTCATTAAATCAATTAAAGATGCACTATGCAGAAATCGCTCCGCCATTTCATGGTTGTTAAAATTCTAATAGCTCGCCTAATTTGAGTTTATGTGACAAAACAAGCAAGTATAGTGTAGAGAGAGAATCATTGTACCATCTAAGCCGCTATTAAATATATTTTCCAAAAGCAAAAATATTGTATTTTCAGCTGTTTGAAGCTGGTGTATAAAACCAAAAGAAAAAGACACAGAAAAGAAATGTAAGAACAGGAAGCATAGAAATAGCGCACATAAGGCAGATCTACCTACTACTTCTTAGACTTGCTTTCAATGAGAATGACAGATCTATAACCACATTTCTATGTGAATTTGGTCAGGTTGCCCAAAAAGTTATAATCTCTAGTATGTAAGGGAGCAAAACATTCATGTTAACACCATATAAAAGCTTTGAAGAAGATAACACTGAATTACAACGTTTCATTAAGAGACACTTCCTCTGTGATTGATGAACAAGCCGGCATACTATATCGGGATTTTAAATATACAAAATGATGCTCAACAAAAATTGTCAATATGTACTACACACAATAAAAAGTATACCTTCATTTGTCACGGTTAATGAACTTACTGGAGTTGGAGAAACATCTAGATTCTCTAAAACATGAGCCACCCTATCTGCAGGCTCACCTGTTCCAGGGCAAAAATGTGTTGGTTGAAGTAAAACTGAATCTGTTCATTTGCAATGTTGATACAGAGTTGCTCAAAGGAGTTCTTCTTGAAGTTCTCGAATCCAAAGATGTCCAGGATTCCCACATTCATGCCACTTTCTGCCACACTTCAAAGGGGAATAACAGGACAGACAAACACAATTATTCTTGTGTGGAACTGTGTGAACCACATTGACTTATGAAACTTTAATGATGAACCAAGTTCAACCCAAATACAGAATATGTTGATCTGAATGGCCAATTGTACTGTTATGGGGAAATCATAATCATAAACTTTTAAACAAAAGTGATGAAAGTTCAGAGATCCTTGACTACAATCAATTGATTATAAAATGTTAATTGCTTGTAAGGGTTGTACAAACAGATTGATACTAAATTAAAATCTGTATTTAACTGTGATCTAAACAATACTGTATTTAGGTCTACTCTAAATACAGACCTTACAACACATATGCACAGAGTGATTTTACTCCGGTATTGCTAAGATCGAGAGTCACCATTTCCCATAATCCCTTTCATTACCAAGATATTAGAGGTCACCTTTTGTCTTGGTTAACAGGTTATTAATGGCAATAACAGAGTGTACAGATGATTGAAGTGGAAACGGACACTGTGGGCCTTCTACAGCTCAGAGACAGCAGATGATTGCCTGACAGTCCATGCTCACATTTATGAGGGAATTATTTTGGATCAATGAACAACCCTTTACAGTCTCTCTGAAGTCTTTTTAATCATCTGAATAATATTTCCTCAGCACGTAACTCTGTATAAAACATTTATTCTACTTATTTAGCTCCCTTTCTTGTCTTGTGCTGTCCATTGATATTCTACTCCATGTGTTTGGTTCTCTACTCAGACGTAAAGGTCACTACAGCTTAATAATATGCAGCAGCATCCACACACACACAGTAGTGTGAAGCACAGTGCAATAACCAAGGACAGAGAGACCTTACACTTACCAGATATTCATATCAGGCTGCAGGAGGGCATTGATGCGGTTGACTATCCAACTGAAGAGGCGTCCGTACAGAGCCTTGGACATGGCGTCCCGGACATCGGTGGCTTTGTCTACAGTATTGGTGCGGATGATGGTCTCTCCACGGGTCACCACACAGTGGGACGTCAGGGCCTCTGTGAGCTCCTCAGGACCGATGCAGAGCAAGGCTGCAGCTGAGGGACAGGGCAGGTGCATGTCAGAGTCACACAGAGCAGCAAGGAAACAACCATTCAGCCATACTGTGTAAATTCACCAATAGGTGGGAATGTTACTATCAATTCTTAACCTGAGCAATAACAAAATAGCTTTTGCTAATAATACTGAAGTACAGTTGTCTTACCATTTTCTAAGGCCTCAACATTAGGCACTTCACTTTTATCAGTCTGGTGTTGGGAAGTAATGGCAGTGAATTCAATATTTCCTGTATTCAAAATGGCGCAGAGAATTCTGTACACAGAATTGACCTCCTGTTAAAAAAGTAAGCACATAAATCAGTGTACAGTGAGTGAAGAAATGCTATGGATATTTAGACATATGTTCTCTTTGTCTTATTTGTTTTAGGAGAAAATATGTTCACACATTTACTTTTAAATGAACAGAGCAACTGCACCTACCTCGTCAGTGAAGCCAATGATGCGGAAACAGTCCTGAATGGCATCAAACTGCTCCTTGTACAGTTTACTGGAGACAATGTCCTGCATCACTTTGCCATGTTGATTTTGAATATATCTAGACAGATACAGTTTTCAGTGCCAGTTTCTGCATTAGTCAAGTGATAAGAAATAACTCACTATATTCAGGCCATATTGAGGTGCCAAGTCATCAAAGCCAAGTAAAGTGATGAAATGCTAACCTGGGGGGTTTCTTGTCAGGTAATCTGTACTTTTTCAGCTTCTCTTGGTGATACAGACCGGCATAGATGTAGTAGAATATGTGGAAGTTTTTCTCTCCCCTAAGAGCATAAAAAGAAACGGTTAACCATCTAGCCAGTGAACTTCAAATGAGGATAACAGTTGTGATTAATAATATATCCCAAGCCCATCTTTCCATTCTTACGTGGCCTGTTTGATGACCCTGGACTTCTCCAGCAGGTACTCTGAGATCTTGGCCCCCATGACGGCCCCGGTGGGGGTAAACTTCATCTCCAGGTACTTCCCAAAGCGACTGGAGTTGTCGTTAATGGCCGTGCACGCGTTGCCAAATGCCTCCACCAGGGGGTTCACTTGGAGGATCTTCTCCCGCAGCGTCCGATTGTTTGCCTGGGATCACAGTCAAGCAATAGTTTTTGCATAACTCCCTCCAGAGACAACACAAACTAAATGTGTAGGACTGAATCTATCAGTGTCCAGTCTGCCCATTCTATAATGAATTCCACTGATGTCTTAGCACATACGCAGTACCTTTCCCAGGAAGGTGAGATGCTGGACAATCAGATGGGCACTCTCTGTCTTTCCAGCTCCACTCTCTCCACTGATGATGATGCACTGAAACACAGGGACACATCAACCACAACTTTGTCATCAGGATGTCTCAGACAAGCACATCACTAGATCTCTAAACAAAGATTTGTATTTATTTTATGCCAAATATAACATTATCCATATGAAACGGCATATCACTAAATATGACTTCCCCACACAAAGTGTATCCCCCCCTCAAGTACCTGGTCTTTGCAGAAGGTCACCATGCCCTGGTATGCTGCATCAGCAGCAGCAAAGATATGTGGAGGATTGTCTGCTCGCTTCACCCCATGGTACAGCTTAGAGAACTGTGGACAGACACCCCACATTAGAATATCAATACCGTTCTGTCTTTACAGAGGTTTGAACAGGAATTACGGCACACAATGGCACTGCCGTAGCAAACAAACCTGTGGCGAGTAGATGCTTAGAGTTTGAAAAGGATTGAGAGCGATGAGGATGTCTCCAACGTATGTGTATATCTGCAGCTCATCATATCTCTTCGAGAGGTGTTTGATGATGGTCTCCTGTGGAGAAGAAGAAGGAGAACACATACAGTGTGTACCGTGTACAATACCTACATTATTCACATACCATCCTCTAGTCCAACAACAATGAAGTCAAAGAATGAAATCTTACCTCATCTAGAAACTCCAGGTTCACCAGATCATCATCAGGACTTCTCTCTATTATGAGTGTTTTACGAGTATTGATTCTTTCATGCCTGTTGGAGTAAAGGACATAATAATGTCTTAGAAAGCATTACAGTAACAGAAGAATACAGATACATTACTAATAATACTCTGGATATAAAATCCATTCATTTAGATGGGTTGCTGGTGGCCCATAAGGGTGTTCCCCAGGGAGATCTCCACCATTATCACAGGCTGTGATTGCACTTCATCTCCGTTTGACCTTTCACTCTACAATGGGGCCTACTGGTCAGAGGTCAGCACTGAGGCAGCTGGTGCATTGGGATTATGCAAACCCCCAAGGGCCTATTGTGGTGATGTGTGTGTGTGTGTGTGTGTGTGTGTGTGTGTGTGTGTGTGTGTGTGTGTGTGTGTGTGTGTGTGTGTGTGTGTGTGTCTACAAACACACATGTAAGCGACTAGATTAAAAAGCCCTTTTGTGAAAAACAACAAACTCTAAAATAACAGTTATCACCACAAAAATATTTCACCCAGAAATTCCAGTCAAGTTCAGATACTAAACCTAACATGAACAATGAAATGGACCAATATCTCAGTCACACAGTGTATCTATTCTATGATAATAAATAGTAGATACACTGAGTGTACAAAACATTAAGGACACCTGCTCTTTCCATGACATAGACTGACCAGGTGAATCCAGGTGAAAGCTACAATCCCTTATTGATGTCACCTGTTAAATCCACTTCAATCAGTGTAGATGAGGGGGAGGAGACAGGTTAAAGAAGGATTTTAAAGCCTTGAGACAATTGAGACATGGATTGTGTATGTGTGCCATTCAGAGGGTGAATGGGCAAGACAAAATATGTAAGTGCCTTTGAACGTGGTATGGTAGTAGGTGCCAGGCGCACCGTTTTGAGTGTGTCAAGAACTGCAATGCTGCTGGGTTTTTCACACGCAACAGTTTCCCGTGTGTATCAAGAATGGTCCACCAACCAAAGGACATCCAGCCAACTTGAAACAACTTTGGGAAGCATTGGAGTCAACATGGGCAAGCATCCCTGTGGAACGCTTTCGACACCTTGTAGAGTCCATGCCCCGATGAATTGAGGCTATTCTGAGGACCAAAAGGGTGTGAAATTCAATATTAGAAAGGTGTTCCTAATGTTTTGTACACTCAGTGTATATAAAATGAATAACATGATAGTAAATCTATCCTACGAGTGAACAATGATTTCCCTTTTCGGAAGATTTCATATCACAACATAGGCACAGACACATGCATACACACACATGATAACATACGCACTATACACACACGTACACATGGATTTTGTGTTGTAGATATGTGGTAGTGGATTAGGGGTCTGAGGGCACACAGTGTGTTGTGAGATCTGTTATGAATGTATTGTAATGTTTTAAAAATTGTATAACTGCCTTAACTTTGCTGGACCCCAGGAAGAGTAGCTGCTGCCTTGGCAGGAACTAATGGGGATCCATAATAAATACAAATACAAATATTCTGAGTAGAAATCCTACAGAAGTTCCACAGGGAAACATAATGTCACAAACACACACACACCTGGCATGGCATCAAGACTATCTCATTCAATGGCATGTGTACTATTTTCTTTAGGGACAAGGAAAAGTATTCCACAAACAGATCATTGGGGAAATAACAAGGTAAACAGAATCGTTTCGCAATCACAAACAACTGTTTTTTAATAAAAGCTCACGACATGCCAGATATAAATCATTCAAAATTCCTAATTGAGTGAAAATGCGACCTGCAAGAATGAACAGTTAGCTTTTTCCACAAGTTAAATCAATCTGAGACTAAAGTGTTTTATTCCCTCATTGGTTTAATCATATTGGTGGAGGACTGCTCTGTACTAAATGCTCCTCGTTGTCACACTGTTAAAAGATCCATTGGGATAAAAAGCTTTTATTAATCTAACTTTGAGTCAGCACAATCACTCCTATTAAATTAGGCCCACTCCCCTAACTTATTTTTAATTCACATCATTTTAATTTACTTTGACTACACATCATACACTATATATACAAAAGTATGTGGACACCCCTTCAAATTAGTGGATTCGGCTATTTCAGCCACACCCGTTGCTGACAGGTGTATAAAATCGAGCACACCGCCATGCAATCTCCATAGACAAACACTGGCAGTAGAATGGCCTCCACACTTTCAATGTGGAACCGTCATAGGATGCCACCTTTCCAATTTATCAAATTTCTGCCCTGTTAGAGCTGCCCCGGTCAACTGTAAGTGCTGCTAATGTGAATTGGAAACGTCTAGGAACAACAACGGCTCAGCCGCGAAGTGGTAGGCCACACAAGTTCACAGACAGGACCGCCGAGTGCTGAAGCGCACAGTGCGTAAAAATCGTCTGTCCTCGGTTACAACACTTGCTACCAAGTTACAAACTGCCTCTGGAAGCAAAGTCAGCACAAGAACTGTTCGTCAGGAGCTTCATGAAATGGGTTTCCATGGCCGAGCAGCCGCAGACAAGCCTAAGATCACCATGCGCAATGCTAAGCGTCGGCTAGAGTGGTGTAAAGCTTGCCGCCATTGGACTCTGGAGCAGTGAAAATGCGTTCTCTGGAGTGATGAATCACGCTTCATCATCTGGCAGTCCGACGGACAAATCTGGGTCGGCGGATGCCAGGAGAACGCTACCTGCCCCAATGCATAGTGGTAACTGTAAAGTTTGGTGGATGAGGAATAATGGTCTGAGGCTGTTTTTCATGGTTCGGGTTAGGCCCCTTACTTCCAGTGAAGGGAAATCTTAATGCTACAGTATACAATGACATTCTAGAAGATTCTGTGCTTCCAACTTTGTGGCAACAGTTTGGGAAAGGCCCTTTCCTGTTTCAGCATGACAATGACCATGTGCACAAAGCGAGGTCCATACAGAACTGGTTTGTCGAGATTGGTGTGGAAGAACTTGACTGGCCTCCACAGTCCTGACCTCAATCCCATCGAACACCTTTGGGATGAATTGGAACACCGACTGCAGCCAGGTCCAACCGCCCAACATCAGTGCCCGACCTCACTGATGCTCTTGTGGCTGAATGGAACCCACAGCAATGTTCCAACATCTAGTGGAAAGCCTTCCCAAAAGGCAAAGGGGGGACCAACTGTATATTAATGCCCATGATTTTGGAATGAGATGTTCAATGCAGGTGTCCACATACTTTTGGTCATGTAGTGTATCTGTTACACTAGTTTGGAGGGACACAACAGTTGAAGGAAATGAAACCCTGCCACCCACTGGTGAGAAAACACATTTCGTCTCAGCATTTCATCCAGTTCACTCTGTCTTGCGCCATAGCATTGTCTCTCCAATGCAGATGAATTAATCAGAAATAACAGATACATAACATCATTGGATTGATAGGTTTAACAGATGTAATCTCAGAGAGATACATCAATGAGTTCTGCAGTGGGGATTGTTTTCAGAATTCTTCAACTGAAAATGTTAGCATTTCTCTGAGTTGACGACACACTTACTTGGTCTTGAGTTTGCAGCCCAGGTCTTGTTGCTCGCAGATGAGTGTGGACAGCTGTTGACCGAGAGCCATTTCTTTGCCATGGGCCTGCTTAATGAAGGGGTGTTCCAAGAGGTGGGTCACAGACGGACGAGTCTCAAAATCCTTTATCAGACACCTGTGTAGCGAGAGAACGCAATTACAACATCATAATACATCATAAAGAAGAAGGAAAAAAAAGAACCCAGGTCCAACCTTTTTCTGGGTTTAAACCCTCTGATCACTAATTCAGCTGGTGCATCTTTATATTTGAGTCAACAGACTTTAACATAATAACAAAAACTAAAGAGACACAGAGCACAATGACCTAAACATCTTACAAAGCAGATTTTTCTGGATTATCTCTGACACGGAGATGTAGGTGTTCAGTAGGGTGCTTCTATGGAGCTTCTCATCAGTGCTTCTGTGTCTGAGTGACTGAACACTGTGTCCCCTCTGTGAGCACCACGTGGTCTGGTCATCACCATGGCCCCTAGTGCAAACAGGTCTGTTTCTGGATGGCCCCTATCTGCTATGTGCAGTGTTTACTCAGAGCCCACCTTTTGTCATAGTGGTCATATCCCAGCAAACCGAGAAACATTCCCAGAACATTAGCTACGATTCCCATTAAGTTCTAGTTAGGGTTTTATCTAACATTAGGATAATAACATCCCCAAAAATAATTCTGAAAATGTTTTAAATAAAAATATCCTTGGAATGTTCTCTTAACATTCACTAAAATGTTGTGTACAACATCTGTAATAGCTACCACAGAACATTTCCCAAATGTTCTCATTAGGTTTCCAGGTAATGTAATAACACCAAATTACCAGTCATGTTTTTAGAACATACTGCCGCAACAAAATGTGAGAGCAACATTCTGGGAACGTTCTTGCAACATCAGGCGAATGTTTTATACAAACATTTTATAATCATCAGCACAACTGGACAGTTTTTGTGCTATGAAAATAACATTTGCCGCAACCTAACAAATGTTCTGGGACCTTTCACAGAACCAATTGTGGTTAGCTGGGATGTCACTATTCTACTGCCTTTACATTATGATATAATCAATATGAAATATTTTCAATCCAGAGGCAATACATTGTTGTTCAAATAACTTTATATAATTTGTAAAATAATTTGTAAAATATGTAGTCCATGGACATGGTGTGATACCGTTTCAAATGGTGAGGGTATTTAAACCAGCTGCCTAGCACTCCATTTGAAATGTACGTTTTTTTAAACAAAATCCCCTGTTTTATTCTGAAAAGACGTTACCAATAGTCATCATACTGTATCTATCCCTTCCATTCAGAATATCCATCATTCTGTACTTAATCTAAACACTTAAATGCCTGAATATGTTTTGGTGTACTGCAACACAACAATGCAGGCAGGCAGGCGAGAGATATGAGAATAACACCAATCGGACTCCTGCTACCTAATCTGGGCTGAAATTCTGCTTGCACTTTCTATCAGTTTTTCTGCTCTGGAAATTAATTCATCGAATTAATTTGTGTCAGGACATTAAGCAGAGGTTGTAGCCATTAGCTGAGCTGTGCAGCCAGGATGCTAAACATCAGGCCACTTTGTTATAAAAGGCAGCTCTTTAGGCTGCACAGGGACAGACACTGATGATGCATTTACTATCAAGAGCAACGACAGTAGTTACCCACCCACCCGCACACACACTGGTCTGGCTGGAGAGTCCTCACAAACAGCCTGCCAGGCCTGATAACATTGTCCACGCTCCACACATTGTAGCCTGGTGGGCTTTGTTTGAGGAGATTATTTCTGATCTGATATAATACAATCCATTACCTCATACTACTGAGAGAGAACGATTAAAAAAACACCCAATAAAATGCATTGCATCTGAATATGGATAGAAGTGGATGCATTACTATAAGACAGGGATCATCAACTATATACAGCCGCGGGCCGATGTTTTCTTGAGCGGATGGTCATGGGGCTGGAACATCATTACGAATAATTTGTAGACCGCAAATTGATGGCAAGAAGCCCAAACAGATATAACATTTGACTAAAACATAGTAATTTCAAACCTTGCTTACAATCTGGAACAGATTTCCAAAATGTAAATCACTTGGAGCTGATTTGGTGTTGTTTTTACAATATTTTATGTCCCCCACCCCCCTTTATTTTGTTGCTCTGAAAACTTGGGGAGGACAAATAAAATCACCATCAGTTGGGGAACCCTGCTATAAGGAACAAATCAAGTAATGGTTGTATGAGCTGTGTTCGCGAAGAATGAGAGAGAATAATGGGGGCGGCAGGTAGCTTAGTGGTTAAGAGCGTTGTGCCAGTAACCGAAAGGTTGCTGGTTTTAATCCCCGAGCCGACTAGGTGAAAAATCTGTCGTTGTGCCCTTGAGCAAGGCACTTAACCCTAATTGCTCCTGTAAGTCGCTCTGGATAAGAGCGTCTGCTAAAATGACTAAAATGTAAATGTAAAATAACTGAGTTTTTTAAGAGAAGCAATAAAGATGTCAGCGTTCTCAATAAAGAACATAAAAATGAAAACAATGAGGATCCTTACAATAAACAAAAAGTATTCACACCCCTTGACTTTTCCCACATTTTGTTGTGTTCAGGGGTTGGAACCTGTCCAGGGAACAGAACCGAAAACCGACGTAATGTTTTAAGAAACAGAAACGGAAACGGGATCAAAAGTGATCCATACTGTTCTGGAACAGAAATGTTATTTTAAAAGCATGGGAACCGGTTAATAACGTTCTTTTACATTCCAGGCATTTTTTTCTAGTCCCACAAAGAAACGCAACAAAGCCCTCACTCTGTCAATCAGAAAGATATTCCAGTGTCTGCCTGCAAGCTGAAAATCTTTGCCAGTGTGTGTTTAGGCTACCTTCCCCTCCCCCCTCCGAAGCATAGTCTACTGTACTGATGTTACAGGCGTATTTCAGAAGATAGGGAGAGAGATTTTTTATTAGCTAGAGAAGAATTATGAACTTTTTCAATGCTAGTTAAGGATAATATATGCCAAGTTATCAAGTTTCACATTGGATTTATTAACTACAAAAAGGTAAGAGGTGTCTTCAATTCTGGTGCCGCTCTGCACACACAAGCTTGTTAGCTAGCTAGCTCAAGCTTGTTCGTTAGCTAGCTCAAAGGACAGTTTAAAGTTCCTCAATAGAAGCCGCTCCTCCTAGGTATAATTCTGTGGACCTAGCTAATTCAGATAATGCATGTCATAACAAGATGCCCAGTGCTTCAAGCCTCTCTGGGTCATGGCTAGAAGGGATCCATCTTTTGTCAAATTAACGTCAAAAGTACAAATGAATTAAAAATGAAAAGCTTAAAATGTCTTGAGTCAATAAGTATTCAACCCCTTTGCTATGGCAAGCCTAAATAAGTTCAGGAGTAAAAATGTGCTTGACAAGTAACATAACAATTTGCATGGACTCACTCTGTGTGCAATAATAGTGTTTGACCTGATTTTTGAATGACTACCTCATCTCTGTACCCCACACATACAATTATCTGCAAGGTCCCTCAGTCGAGCTGTCACGCCCTGGCTCTGGGGACACTTGTATGTTGAGCCAGGGTGTGAGTTTCCTTTGTGTATTCTAGTTGTTGTATTTCTATGTTGGCCAGAGTGGTTCTCAATCAGAGGCAACGAGTGTCAGCTGTTGCTGGTTGTCTCTGATTGGGAACCATATTTAGACAGGCTGTTTTCCCACAGTGGTTGTGGGATCTTGTTCCTGTATAGGTTTGTGGTTTGCACCGTTGGACGTCACGTTATCGTTTGTTGTTTTTGTTCGTGTTATCATTCAAATTAATAAAATATGTTCACCTTCCACGCTGCGCCTTGGTCCTCTGTACCCGACGAGCGTGACAGAAGATCCCACCATACCTGGACCAAGCAGCGTGAAGAGGAGAGAGGATGGACTTTGGAGCAGTGGAGTAAGAGTCTCGACTGGGCCAAGCCAAGTGAAGAGCAGAGAGGTTGGACTTTGAAGCAGTGGAGTGAGTGTCTGGCTAGAGACATGGAGGCCTGGTCCAAGAGGAGAGCCGCCCAGAAAATTTTTAGGGGGGGGGGCTCACGCCGTGGACGACGGGGCAGCAGGAGGCCGCGATAGAGCGGTCCAGCGGGTTGGCAGAGGAGGCCGCCAGGTTACGGGGGCCACTGGTATTAAAGGGGAAGGAAAGTGTAGAGGCACGGCGAGAGGTACTGGGGTGTGTTACCAGTCCGGTCCGGCCCGTTCCTGATCCCCGCGTAGGGCCAGTGGTGTGTGTCCCCAGTACGGTCCGGCTTGTTCCTGTCCCTCGCATCGAGCCTGTGGTGCGCGTCGCCAGCCCGGTCCGGCCTGTTCCTGCTCTCCGCACCAAGCCAATGGTGCGCGTCGTCAGCCCGGCTCGGCCCGTTCCTGCTCCCCGCACCAAGTCAGTGGTGCGCTTCGTCAGCCCGGCTCGGCCCGTTCCTGCTCCCCGCACCAAGTCAGTGGTGCGCTTCGTCAGCCCGGCTCGGCCCGTTCCTGCTCCCCGCACCAAGTCAGTGGTGCGCTTCGTCAGCCCGGCTCGGCCCGTTCCTGCTCCCCGCACCAAGTCAATGGTGCGCTTCGTCAGCCCAGCTCGGCCCGTTCCTGCTCCCCGCACCAAGTCAGTGGTGCGCTTCGTCAGCCCGGCTCGGTCCGTTCCTGCTCCCCACACCAAGCCAGTGGTGTGCGTCGTCAGTCCGGCACAGCCCGTGCCTGTTCCACCGGTGCCTGGTCCGGCACCGGTCAGCTGCTCCACGCCGGAGCTAGAGCAATCCACTCCACCAGTGTTCAGTTCAGCTCCGGTCAGCAGGGCCAGACCGGACCAGGGGTACTTTGGGGGGTTAGAGAGGGAGTGGGGATCATGCCCGGAGCCGGATCCGCCGCCAAGGCGGAGTGCCCACCCGGTCCCTCCCCTGTGGTATTTGGTTGGCGCGGTCGGAGTCCGCGCCTTTAGGGGGGGGTACTGTCACGCCCTGGCTCTGGGGACACTTGTATGTTGAGCCAGGGTGTGAGTTTCCTTTGTGTATTCTAGTTGTTGTATTTCTATGTTGGCCAGAGTGGTTCTCAATCAGAGGCAACGAGTGTCAGCTGTTGCTGGTTGTCTCTGATTGGGAACCATATTTAGACAGGCTGTTTTCCCACAGTGGTTGTGGGATCTTGTTCCTGTATAGGTTTGTGGTTTGCACCGTTGGACGTCACGTTATCGTTTGTTGTTTTTGTTCGTGTTATCATTCAAATTAATAAAATATGTTCACCTTCCACGCTGCGCCTTGGTCCTCTGTACCCGACGAGTGTGACACGAGCAGTGAATTTCAAACACAGATTCAACCACAAAGACCAGGGAGGTTTTCCAATGCCTCGCAAAGAAGGGCACCTATAGAGGTGTAAAAATAAACAAGTCCCTTTGAGCATGGTGAAGTTATTAATTACACTCAGTTGTTGGAGAAGAAGGAAACCGCTCAGGGATTTCACCATGAGGCCAATGGTGACTTTAAAACAGAGTTTAATGGCTGTGACAGGAGAAAACAGAGGATGGATCAACAACATTGTAGTTACAATACTAACCTAATTGACAGAGTGAAAAGAAGGAAGCCTGTACAGAAAAAAAAGATTCAAAAATATGCATCCTGTTTGCAACAAGGCACTAAAGAAGTACTGTAAAAAATTTGGCAAAGCAATTAACTTTTTGTCCTGAATACAAAGTGTTATGTTTGGGGCAAATCCAATATAACACATTACTAAGTACCACTCTCCATATTTTCAAGCATAATGGTTGCTGCATCATGTTCTGGGTATGCTTGTAATCATTAAGGACTGGGGAGTTTTTTCTGGATAAATAGAAAATGGAATTGAGCTAAGCACAAGCAAAATCCTAGAGGAAAACCTGATTCAGCTGGCTTCCACTAGACACTGGGAGATTAATTCACCTTTCAGCAGGACAATAACCTAAAACAAAAGGCCAAATCTACACTGGAGTTGCTTACCAAGAAGACAGTGAATGTTCCTGAGTGGCCGAGTTACAGTTTTGACTTACATCTACTTGAACATCTATGGCAAGACCTGAAACATTTTGTCCAGCAATGATCAACAACCAATTTGACAGAGCTTGAAGAATTTTGAAAATAATAATGGGAAAATGTTGCACAATCCAGGTGTGGAAAGCTCTTAAGAGACTTACCCAGAAAGACTCACAGCTGTAATCACTGCCAAAGGTGCTTCTACAAAGTATTGACTCAGGGGTGTGAATACTTATGTAAATTCGATATCTCTATTTCATTTTCAATACATTTGCAAACATTTCTAAAAACATGTTTTCACTTTGTCATTATGGGGTATTGTGTGTAGATGGGTGAGAAAAAAATATATTTAATCCATTTTGAATTCCGGCTGTGACACAACAGAATGTGGAATAAGTCAAGTGGTATGAATACTTTCTGAAGGCACTGTAAATGCCATCAAAATCAGCTTCTTTAGGGTACCTATAACACAACATCACCAACTATTTGTTACTGTGCATGTGGGCCTTGAACCATCTCAGCTCTCCAGCTTCATCAAATTATTAAATAACAAGGCACACTAAGGTATAACATCATTAAAGCAGGGTTTTCCTACGTGCATTATGAAACAAAAAGGCCTGTATGATAGGCCTTATGACAGGGGCTTCATTCCAAGCAAAGCTTTAACAATATAATAAGGCAGTAGTGCACAGGTAATACAACTATAGATTGGACTCAGCTACAGCTTCTAATCCATCTCTGACTGATGAGTCTACTACCCCTAATGGATTCACAGCTGTACTGTTTGATGTTTTCATTATTAATAATGAATTAATAACCACTGCCTTTCAATCTATTCCACCACTAATAATATCAACACAGAGGGAAGACAATCACCTCCCACAAATAACACCTGAAGAAATAGATTGCCTCGCTCTCTGCCCCAACTTGCACTGCATGCTAGATATTAAGGTTGTATATTCAGCGAGACTATTATTGGCCAATGTTGACATTATTTGTTTTCCACACTGGAGGGACTGATTATTTATCTCATCCTAAAGATATAACTGATAATTCAGCAGAATGAGTTTTTTCCTCTGTGACAGATTTACGCAAATTAAAATCGAGGAAATGCGAGGAAGAAAAAAAGGGTTGAGACAATCTAGCTTAAAAAAGATCCATTTCTAGTCCTTTCCATTTCCAGTGATCAAAGGATGCCCAGAACCAAATGCGTAACCAGTGCATTCTGCCCCTTTGGCCAAATGGGAAAACATTGAGGTCTCGCCATTGAAACCCATTCAAATATTGTAAAAGGCTTGTGTTGTTTAAAAAGTAAGAATGAATATATTTTGTTGTCATCACCATTAACCAACTGCATTGGCGCCAGTTGGTTGCAATTACTTCAAAGACTAAATAAACACAAATAAACATGTATAGCTAAATTCTCCTAATGGAATAGACCCAACATCCTCATTACTGTGTAAGTAAGTGTAGAGAAACACATTCATTTCAGCAGGAAGCAACTTCATTGTCATAGAAATAGCAGGATACTCACTGGGCAATGAAGTGACTGAAGCTTCTGCACCACTCCTCTGGATTGCGTAATGTAGGGGAAGGGTTTCTGAAACGAAACACACAACACAAAAATCATCATTGAAAAATGTATATTGAACTGAAACGTTTAAGTTATTGATGGTGTTGTTGTTGGCCTAAACACGATAGTTCTCATGAGACTGGAGCGTCAGAATGGTTGGGTATAATCTGAGTGCTGAGAATAGTCAATGACAAATGAAAACAGCTCCTCAACTGTCTGACAGGAAGCATCTGCCAGCGGGAGCCAAAGTTACGGGAGCCAGTAATACCTCTGTCAGCAGCATTTAAAGAGATCATCTATAATGAGGCAAGCACCTCAAGACTAGTTCAGTTGATAATATCGGGATGGAGCCAGGGCAGTACCAATGTGATGAGGTGTGAATGACGGAGTCAGGCGCAGGAGGTAAAACACCGAAATCAAGAGTTTATTCAGTGTACAATAATGCAGCGCATATAGCGACAGAACGAAACTAGCACAAGGGAAAATCAACCTTGGCTGCATACAAGTAAAGAGTAGCTCAACCGAGCTACTCACTCTCACAACGAACAATCACTCACAAAGGACAAGGGGGCAGAGGGAACACTTATACACAGACTAATGAGGGAATGAGTACCAGGTGTGTGTGATTGACAAGACAAGACAAATGGAGTGATGATAAATGGAGCGGTAGTGGCTAGTAAGCCGGTGACGACGAACGGCGAAACCTGCCCGAGCAAGGAGGAGCGGCAGCCTCGGCTGAATTCGTGACAACCAAGGCTCAACAACAGGGCGTTACCATTCCACTAGTTCAAAACATGCTAATCAAAGAAAATAAAGAAATAATGTAATGTAATGGGGAAGATAGTGATTAAAGTTATGATTTTGCTCATACTGTAATTTTGGATAGGGTGCTTATATACACTTAAGCTTTCAAACATAATTTTCAACTTTCATCAACTAATTTCTAAAATGGAGACAGCTTTGTACATCTGAGGCATGAAAAAACAACCAAGAACAAATGGTTCTAATTTCTTTGATAAGAAAACATTATCAATAACAAAGCTTTGTGATAGTCCCGCGTAGCTCAGTTGGTAGAGCATGGCGTTTGCAACGCCAGGGTTGTGGGTTCATTTCCCACGGGGGGCCAGTATGATTTTTAAAAAACAAAATATATGTATGCACTCACTAACTGTAAGTCGCTCTGGATAAGAGCATCTGCTAAATGACTAAAAATGTCAAAAATACACATATATGAGAGCCTTTTAAACGTCTTTATTTTTCTGAGGGAATGTGTCATTATTTTGCGCACTAAGTCACACACGTCTTTGATAGAGACTCAGAGTCAGACAGACAGTCCTTTCTGAAGTGCAGATCAAAGCCTTGTAATGGACTGCTTCAATGCAAAATATAATATGAGCCCGCAGCAATGCTCTTGCCTTGATGTTGTACCACTGCACTGCTTATATATTACAAAGTCAATACACCAGCACATTGGTGATAACACTGTCAAGTACCCTCATTGTGCTTACAAAATCAGGCATTTTTCCTTCCAGTATATGTGGGAGCACTAACTCATATTGTAAACACAATTGGCTTATTTAAATCTAGGTCCAGGCACTCCTTGTGCTGTCAAACGTGTGTCAAAGTGGATTGAGGCAGAATCAGTGGTTCTCAGCTCTACTTTTGAAGCCCTAAGTCTGCTACTAAGCTCAGGAGAAAGACAAAAAAGCATGCTTGTGTCCTACATGAATATGATACTTTGTATGCAGAGCTCATAATTCTTGCCATTTTCCTAATAGACATAAAAAAACTGTCAGATAATTTACATGAATCCTGACAGCCAATGTCATACAGTAGATATAGTTCTAGAGCATAGCAGGGATAATCAACTAGATTCAGCCACAGGCTGATTTTTTCTTGAGCAGATGGTCAGTGGGCCGGAACATAATAACAAATAATTTGTAGACTACAAATGTATCGCAAGAAGCCCAAACAGATATAATATTTGACTAAAACATAATCATTTCAAACCTTGCTTATATTTGTATACAATCAAGTCTCTCTATTATGCGTGGGAATAATTGGGAACAGATTTCCAAAATGTAAATAACTTGGAGCTGATTTCCTGGTGTTTTTACAGTTTTTTATGTCCAACAATGAAAATGCCCCCCCAAAAATAAATAATAATAATAATAAATTGTGGGCCAAATAAAACCACCTGCGGGCCACGAGTTAGGGAACCCTGGGAATGCACAGGGTATCATATATAAAGACACTATCTGCTAGTCTTTGAACTTTGAGGGGGCAACAGCATGAAAACAAAGTGATCCTGATGGCCTAAATAGCAGCACTACGGGAAACACAGGAAAGACTTCTTCTGTGGGCCAACCGCTCAAACTCCAGCTCATCTATCATCAGAGAGCACCAGCAGTTCTGTTGAGCACACATGAATGAACACGGAAAAGTGCTGCACATTATTCTCTACTGTCTTCTTCAGGCTCGCCACCAACACATGATACTGTAGCAGGGACAGTAAGGGTGCATCAGAGTGTGCCTACATGGAATAACTGCATAACAGATAGACAGAGCCATTCTAAACACAACCAATATCCTATCACCTCAGAGGTCGAAACGGCAGATGTGTATTAGATTATGTTAAAAGCTATAGGATATTGAACGAGGGAAGTAGCGTGATCAGTACAATACATTTTCTCTAAGATAGCTGTTGGATAGTCACAAACAATCAAATACGATTTGAAAAAAAATAGCATAATTAGATCAGAAACCTTTCCAGCCTGTGTTCTATTACTACTACATTTCTCCGAACAACCAGTGATGAGTTTTCAAAACAAATGTCCACACAATGTTGAAAAATAATTGTGGCGAAGTAACTACATTCGTTTATAAGCCATAGCGTGACTCTAAATCATTACAAGCCATTTGAAAAACGACCACTGATCGTTTGTGGTAAAAAGTCCCACAGAGAGATACAAACATGGGTCGTGTACAGTACAAGATCCAGCATTATTCTAAAGTCTAAAGTCTCAAAGGATAAGATGTTCCAACTTTCAAAACAGGTCTATTTTGGCTAGCCACAGCAGTCAGACTGCAGGAAAATGAACAGATTCTAATCGGATATGCAAAAAAATAGGATTTAAGTCACTTCAAACTGCCAATGTGAACAAGGCTTTACAGACTATGATGGATTGACCAGTTGACATGTAGTCAATAGTAATCTTCCACATACAAAATGCCGAACAATTGTTGTGAAAAGTATGTGCCAAAAGCTGTGTGAGTTAACTTTGAAATGAACGTATCTCAATCTAAAAGTCTCACAGTTTATAGAAGAGTAAGCATAAATCTTCACCCCAACTCCAGCCTTTCATGTGCATAAAAATCACCAAAATCTTACCAGGGCTGAATGTCAAGTTCACAATACAAGAATCACAGTTTACATTCTGCTAAGACTTATGTTTACATTTAACATTGAACCAAGGCTTGCATACTGTGCTGCTGATGGTCAGGTGTCAATTTCAAAATCGGACCCTTATCAAATACGTTCCAAAATGGATGAACAGTATTGTTAAAAGAAAACAGAAAAAATAGTAGCGATGTCTTTCATTCTTGACTGTTCTGCTCTGCAGCCTTTACATTACCTGTGGCTTTTGGCTGGTGTATTGCTTCTCGCCTGAACACTGGTTGGGATTCCGCTCACTTGCCCTATGATTTCATTAGCCTTTGTTGGCTCTGACAACCCATCATCTACTCCCATTATCTCCCTCACTTCACATCTCTTTCCAGACAGGTACAAGCCCAGTTATATACAGTGAGCTCCAAAAGTATTGGGACAGTGACACATTTTTTGTTGTGTGCTGTAAGTGCTGTAATCTCTAAACGGTTAATGTGATATGGATGGAAATACCTTCAAATTAAAGCTGACAGTCTGCACTTTAACCTCACAGTCATTGAATCATTTCAAATCCAAAGTGCTGGAGTACAGAGCCAAAACAACAAAACATTTGTCACTGTCCCAATACTTTTGGAGCTCACTGTATATTGCTAATATCCACTGGGATCTGTGCGAATAAACACATAATTTACCTTTAACCTTCACAGGCTTTTTACACCACACATCTCCCTATGACTTTACACAGGACTTTACTCAGGGTTTGGCAAATACAGCATGGAGAATATTGGCTCAAGCAATTAACCTTTCCACATATTGAATATCTGAGAGCATCGTCTCAAGTTTCCGTAATTAATTCTGCAGTTAACCGTTTTACAGCTTCACCCTTTTACATGCTCCATTACCCACATTCATGATAACCATGGGCCCCACATATATGACATCCTATAAAGCAGGCAAAATCACATCCAATCTTCTCATCATGATATGATGTAGGGCATATAATCTGTTTCCCGTAGTGCAGAATCTGTGATTGGCTCTTGGAGGTCTATCTGCAACTGATTAGCTCCCGGGCCGGCATTAGTTTACTGTTAAAAGTGATTTACAATGGTGTTGGAATCAATACAATTCTTTGTATCTGATGCTATCTGTGGAAAAGAGCAAGCAGCAGGTATGAATGGAGTGGAGGAGCAGAGCAGCTTCCCTGACAGCGATCTGAACTCCTCTCACCACTTCAAACTGGTAGCTGTGAAAGGGATACCTTCTGTGCAAGTTCCCATCGCAAATCTAAAGCTCTATCACATGGCCTGCAGTAGTCCTGCCTGTGTTCAGCCCCAGTGTCAATGGCCCCAGAGGCCTGGCTACGTTAATGGTGCTGTTGTTTTATCTACACAGTGAGTCCACACCCTAAGGCCACTCCATCTGTTGTATGACATGGAGGAGATACTGCAGTACAGCGAGGGGCATAGTCCTGAGCCAGCCAAAACAACCAGAACCCTCTCAGATCTCAACCCAGGGTTCACATACTGCTATCTTCATCACAGAAGGATATAGGTGAAGCCAGAGAGATGCATCAACTAGATTTAGATGGTGACACTGAATATGCAGTTATTGCCATATTTCATAAACACATCCATTGTGTTTATACCCAATATAGACCATGTTTGGAATGGTAATGTCTTACTCATAGGAATAATCTTGGGATTTACACAACAGATTAATAAATATACTGTGCCATTGAGTGAACTGTGAGATGGAAATACAGGAATGTGTGCAAAGACATACAATCTTATGTCATAAAGAAATATAGCATGTTTTAGTGTCTGTGACATTTTTTATAAAACCTATTATTCCCAAGGACAATACTTTATCAGGAGAAGCCACTGATTATGGCAATTTAAAGAGCTACTAAAGCATGTGTGGAACACTCGCAGGAAACAATAATTACATCTACCTCATTACAATCATTAAATCTACCTAATTACAATCATTAAATCTACCTCTTTACAATCATTAAATCTACCTCATTACAATCATTACATCTATCTCACTACAATCATTAAATACACTCATTACAATCATTAAATCTACCTCATTACAATCATTACATCTATCTCACTACAATCATTAAATACACTCATTACAATTATTAAATCTACCTCATTACAATCATTACATCTATCTCACTACAATCATTAAATACACTCATTACAATCATTACATCTACCTCATTACAATCATTAAAGAAATACATCTTGTATCACTATCATTTCTGTGCTCAAATTGCAGAATAAAAGTGCATCAACACACAGATACACAATTTTGTAACACATGTCCTCTGTTTCAAATAGAATGCACATACAACAGACAGACACTGTCAGGCAACCTCCTCTTATACGTTTGACTGCCTTGTTGTATTGATGGGAAAATATATTGGAGACAGATGACATGTTAACAGAATCATTTCACGGTTCAGTGTGCCCGTACTGTGATTTATCCTGGAGCCGCCCAGCCAAAGGTCCCAATTCCATGATTTATGGACCAAGGCGAAATATCTATTTTGATTTTTAAACGAAACCCCAGTTTTAACAATGGTAGATTGCTGCACGTGTCTAACTCTATTCATATTCCAAATCTCTCATGAAGTCAAATTATTTCATTAAAAGGTGATTAAGAAAAATGGATGAATGATAAAAGAAGAGAAATGCACATGCCCTTCCATTGTTTATCATGACCTCTAGTAAATGTTATCTAAGGGCAATTAAAATCCTTGACACAGAAAGCAAAACCTGCTCTGGTACTGTATCAATAGCTGCATCTATTTTAGGTGTTGTCTGTTGTTTTCATCCTTCCACCAAAACAGGCCAATCACCAATTCAGCACTATACAGAATTTAGGAGCTGACCATGTGTACATCCCACTGAAAAGGTTCCATCCTATCAAATCAGATGACTGAATGCATGCCTCCTTCCAGACCCAGCAGAGTGTTATTCCAGGCTTGTGATTTGGGAGCGTTTGTTTGACCAGGACAGCTTCCTCTGAGCCTGTAATTGCTGTGACCTGTTTTACGTTCACTTGAGTTTGGTGTGATAAACCTCTGCTGTAGCTCCCATAACTAGTACTGCGACACGATGCATGCTTGTTTCTCATCAGGTTTGGTGGGGTGGAGATAACACTGTGATGGGTGGCTGGTGACAGCCTCATCTCAATGTGAATGGAGCTAATCACCAATGCAAATTGCAATCAGAAGGGCACATCCTCACCAAACTGAGAGATAATTGTGCGATTGTGCCAACAGTAAAAGGTCAGCCACTTGTACCATCAAACCTTTCAAATAATCATGAATCAGAAATTGTGTCTACATCAGAGGAGAGTTTTTAGATTAAATAACAGATTTAAGGGTAAGGCCAAATATCGTTCCATTAACTCTTGATCAGTTCTGATCCGTTTATCATTTTGCAATTTTCTATTCATTTAGCCTTGTAGCTTGGAAACACGCATTGTAGCACGCTAATTATTTTCCTGATTTAATGCATTTATACCAGGTCTATACTGCATTTCATGACCACACAAAATGACATTAAGAATCTTTACAATTTCTTGCCATATTTGGCATTTCATAATTTTTCAGAGAAAGGGCCCTGTGATGATTCACTCCTAAATTCAGTTTACCATTGTCCTCCAGCCAAAATCAAAAGCTTTTTATGAAAGTGCAGCTGCTGCTGTGTGTCTGGTCTGCCCCAGCCTGCTGTGTGCTGAGGGAGCCCTCTAGTGCCTTACCGTGGGATCTTGAAAAGGGCTTTGACGGGGTGCATCTCAGACAACGGGGGGTCTCCATCAGCCAGCTCTATGGCTGTGATGCCCAGTGACCACACGTCACAGCGGGCGTCATACGTGGAGTCATACTGCTGCTCACAGGCGATGACCTGGGACGACACAGGCAGGATAAGCATGACACAAGCAGGTAGACACTTCTCATGCAAGTTGCTGCCATGTTTCTTACTGTCCAGGATGATATGATGATAATGCCTTCGCAACAGTGAGGTACTGACTGTTTTTGTGGACCTTTTCAAATCAACATTACAATGTGTATTTTAAACACAGGCAATTATAAAATGATTTGATCGTCTTCTCCATTGTTGTCCAAACCTTATCTGATTCCAGCAGTTAAATTCATTCATCAGATAAGGGAAGTTGCAACTGGTATTGGAGCTCCCTTCTCTCACCATCAAAAATCATTACTGAGACCAAAATGAACAGCCTCCTTTATTCTAATTGCCCCTGAGGACCCCTCCTACCAGCCCAATCATCATGCCTCATTTCTGCCAAACAGTAAGCTGGGGCAGCAGACTCCCAGCTATTAACCTTGGGGCAACCTCAAGAGCAGGGAGCGTGGAGGGGAATGCACAATGACAAGGGGGTTTTACATTTTGAACAGCCTCAGCAGAGTACATACTCACTCGTCTATCTCTCTCTACAGTCCACATAGCACATCTAATGCAACTCAATGGTGTCATCATGTAGGATATTTTGGCGCTTAGGGTTCTCATGCAATTGCAAGCAAAGGGGTTTAGTGGGGCATGTAAAAAAAAAGGCTAACCTCAGGTGCCATCCAAAAGGGAGTGCCAACGGATGTGTTTCTTCTCAAACGTGCACTCGTCAGCTGAGCAGAGACACCTGGATAGAATTTAGGCTAATTAATAAATCACCTCATTCTCAGTGCATCAGTCTTTGGTCCAAAATAAGATTGTTTGTTTTATACCACATTATAGCCTGTTATAATTACATATTCACAGTTGTTTAATATGCTGTCGTGCATCTGTGTGCATATTACATGAATGTGAATTACAGAGGGAAAGTGTGTGTGAATCAATCAATAGCAATATGGCATATCATTTGGTGTGGCAACCTGCCATACCAACATAAATTGGCAATAATAATTTCAAATTAAGTGGGACAGATTTTTATCAGCAGGAGTCCACTTCATTCCAAACACACAAGGACATAAACATGCCCGGGGCAACTCAGAGTCATTTGCCAGAGCAGTTTTCTTTTCATATGCAAAGGATAAAATAATGCAATTTAAATTAGCAATAATAGCCTTAGGTTAAGCTATGGTCCATGAAATACAAAGATGTTACATAGGGTAGGGGGGAAGAAATATGTGGACTGCATCGAAGCATTGATGCCCATATGCTTGTATTCATCATATACCCTTTATCAATTTTTGTGGACAAAAATACATAGATTAACTTTCAACTATGATAAATCATCTGTTAAATGAAGACCGAGACAGAAGAAACAGAGCCCACAAACAACTTCCCAGAGTCTCCCTGTAATATGCATGTATCTCTTTCTACAAGCCATCAATTGGCCAAAGTGCCCCCACAACAGGATAACACAAGCCATTACCAAAGTCAACGAGTTTGACCCCTCCCTCGGTGGTCAAAAGGATGTTGTTTCCTTTGACGTCACGATGGATAATCCGGTTGTTGTGTAAATGCTGGAGACCCTGGCAGGCGGGAGGAGGGAAACAAAGGGGGGCTTAATAAGTGTCAGTAACCCCATTATTAACGGTTTGTGATTAGTACAATTTCAAATAAAGCTGTCTACTGCCATGCATATCAAAGAGCTCTCCCTGCTGTTTAAAGGGATGGACATCTTTTACTCCCACACCCCGCCACCACCTGAGTCAATCCCCTGCCCACTGTGTGTGGATGCCAGCCCCTTCTGTCATTAGGTGTTTTGCAGTTGGCCATCTTACCAAGAGGGCGCCGCATAAGATGTATGCGATAACGGGTTCCAGCAGTCGCTGGCCCCGCATGAGCAGGCCTTTGATGAGATCGGTGACTGAGCCCCCGTTGCACAGCTGTGTGTGGTGTGTGTGAGAGAGAGAGAGAAGAGAGAGAGAGAGAGAGAGAGAGAGAGAGAGAGAGAGAGAGAGAGAGAGAGAGAGAGAGAGAGAGAGAGAGAGAGAGAGAGAGACGAGAGAGAGAGAGAGAGAGACAGAGAGCGAGCGAGAGAGAGAGAGAGAGAGAGAGAGAGAGAGAGAGAGAGAGAGAGAGAGAGAGAGAGAGACAGAGTGAGAGAGAGAACAGCGGCTCCTCCATCACTCACCACTCTAGATTATGATTCATCACACAAGAGCCATCCCTCCCACACATACAACTAGACTGGCGTCACGAATCCTTCTTCCAGAGCTTTTAAACATGCGATTTTCCCCAGTGTAGGAGGGTGACCTCCTCTCAGCTCTGCCATGGATTTCCCTCCCATGATTTAAAGTAAATCTACTGTTTGTGATCCTTCTACTTCTCAAACAGTCAACAACAAAGATGGGCTGCAGATATTGTAAGACTATGGTGATCATAGTGGAGGAGATGTAACACAGGAGATAAAGTGCAGCTACTTATATTGAGCACAACCAGACTGTAATGTTTGAATAGCAAACACCACTGGGCTATATTGCCTCCCGTGACAAAGTCATACAGTATGAGCACTTTAATGATTAACTACATATATGCAGTGCTGAAGATGTACAGATGTTATAGATATACAGTATATGACTGGACTGTAAAGCTGGGCAAAGTCTTACTTTATAAGCAAGACAGAATAACCCAGGGGATCTCACCTCTAGAACCAACCATAGCTGTCCGCCTGAGAGGTCGTCTGACTTGTAGAACATGCCGTAGAACTTGACCACGTTGGGGTGGTTGGACAAGGTCCTCAGGATGTTGTACTCAGCCTCAATCTCCTCATCAACATCCTTTGACAAGGAGAACACATTAACATCAGTCACACCCCATTTTGACTGTGGAACAACACATCATTCATAAGAAGACACACAACAAACTGTCCTGAAACTTCTGACATAAAAAAAAAAAGGATGTTGAAATTAGATTATAAGGAAACTAAAACACCTTCAATCACAGCCCGGAACCATTAAACACTGGGGAAACTAGTTACTGGTCAGATGTACCAATGGAGTGTCTTCTACATCAGTTTAAATCTCAGTGGAAGTGAAGAAAAAGCATCACAGAGGCAGTACTCCTCTTCCTGGCTGTGTGAAATATACTGTCAGTGGTCTAATCAAGGAGAGGGATGAGCAGGGAAGCAGCTACATCTTCATACCCGGGCAGGCAGGGAGCTGCAGCAGGGGGCTAGCAAGAGAGCCATAAGAGGGATTGGAGCACTGACACAATCATAAGCAAGCACTCAGCTCTGAATCTCACAAACACACAACATGGCGCCACTGCAGGGCCCATGGTCCCAGGCATCAGCACCACAGACAGGTCTAGCAGCTTGCTGCACATCACTAAGGTAATGACACATGCATAATTGGGAAGGGAGATACAGTGACTGGTTAGGATGACTGTGGAAAGTGGGTGTAGAAATGGAGTGAAAATAGATGAAAATGGAAACAGGTGGGCAGTGGCATGTCCAGAAAATGTTGAATGGGTTGGCCAAGGTAGGCCACAGACCCAGTTTAGGGGGGGCCATAACATTTTGAACCTTAATCAATCGCAAGGTGGATTTTTCAATATAATTATAATGGTTCAACGCATGAAATGCTTCAGCCCTTATATAAATCAATTCCAAAAGTATTGTTACAGTGTTTGCATGGAAGGTCAGGATTTTATATAAGGGTATTAGCATACAGCAGTAAATTCACTTGAAAGAGCCATCCAGAGAGCGAATTATACCGTGACATTCGGGGGGGTCTCCATTCTTTTTAAGGGACCTCCTATGAAAATGTTTTATGGCCTTTTTAGTAAAGACATTTAATTTAACTGTAAAAATGTATTACCTTTTAATTTGTCATGAACACAATCAGACATTATGTTTTTATCTGATTGTCAAACAAATCACTTCAAAAAGTAGTTAAGTAGGTTAATTGCGCACTTTTGTCTACTCCAAAATAAGGCCAGCATCTGAACAGTGCACTGTGCACCCGCCATTTGAATGGAAAGGGACATCTATTACAAACACCATAAGTGTAATGACAAAGTGGCGCGTATTCATGGGTGCCAGGCTTCCCCAAAATGTTTTACAATAAAAAGAGAAACAAACGTAGAAAACTATTTCTCATTCGTGTCTATCCGTGTTTCATAATTTTCGCAAGAGGCTCATTCGCAAGTGGCATAATTCGCAAGAGGCTGAATCTATTTCACCAGAGAAAGCATTGGAGTGAAGCAAACATCACCCCTCTGTCTTAGTATCTGTAGACCGTGTATCTCATTCTGTCTGATACATGGGCTACACATACTAAGACAGGGGCGCTGTTTCGCTCGATTGAGGAGTCTTGCTGTCGGTCAATATATTCACAGACGACCTATCAGAGCTCAGAATTTCTGAGGGGGCCACTGGTGTGGCCAACCTGGGCCACCCCATGGACACGCCACTGTAGGTGGGGAATCTACTAGAGAACAGTAAACACAGGGACAGGTACAGGAGGAGGAGTAGGCAGGTACAGGGAAATAAGCAAATAAACTTGCTATGTTTGTATGCCTAGTAAACTGAGACAAGCCAAACAATAGTAAAGAAAAACAGAGATGATTTCCTTTATTAATTTGTTTGGTTTAGCGTTGTCACAGGTCAGGGTTGACATTTCTAGGAGGGAGAGCACCTAAACTTGCTAGATCCATAGCAATTATGCTCCATGCACAAGATGGCATATGAATTGATTGTTGCTCTTTTGCAATTACTTACATTGATTGGGTCCAGGACTTTGACTGCTGCTTGACTCCCATCCTTCCTGTTGTTCACTCTGTAGACTTTTCCATAGGTTCCTTTACCAATGGTCTCTGCAATATCCCAGTCACTCGATGGATCCGCCAGGCTCTCCAGACCAATCATACTGGCCTTGTAAGGGTATAGTCCATACAGCGATCTCCTACATTGAATAATAGAGATCCAAGAGAAATGCTTCATTCATGTAAACACATTGGAACTAAATATATATCCCTGCCAACACTTTCTCCTCTCTAGGGGAAGCTTTGCTAATCAAGGAAAGATGGCAGGCAACGTGTCACCATAGCTTTAGGTTTAGCTTCAAAACATCACACATATGGCTTTAACCACACTGATCTGCATGTAATGCTCCACCAAAACACACTTTCTCACTAGCGATATATCAACAGTAAAAAACCTAACAGCTTGCTATGTTATACAGTAAATTACTTCACCACTGATTGAGCTCAATGACACATATATTTGGCCATGGGAGGCACTTAACAGATTTAAAACTGTCGAAGAGAAAGCAAAATTCAAACCATACGACGATACTTACATCGGGACTGTTATTTTCTGCTGACTCATTAAGCCTTGGGCAGTGCACACAACCGACTAAGGTGTTTCATAGTAAAACAAGACCTACACAGATGAAGCTTGCTTATCCCCGAGAGGACATGTAACAAGTAGCATTGCACTGGGACACTGAATTAGTGCGCACCACAGGGACCCTGTCTATGTCCAGGAACACTCCACTAAGAACACTTAAATCTCTTCAGAATCAATTGGATTGGCCTGAGATTAACTTGACTGGTGTATTTGTCTACCACAGAACCAACCCCGCCCCCAGGCTCCACACATATCAAACTGAAAGAGGTTTCTAAAACAATTAAATATAATTTTCAATCTGACTTTGGTGTCATTATCCCTGAAAGGTCAAGTTTAAGTCATACTAAGTAACTGCATAATGAGGGGTGGTTTCCTGGACACAGATTAAGCCTAATCCTGAACTGTGTCCGGGAAACCGCCCCATAGTGTCATAAATTAAGGATAGAGTGCATTCGGAAAGTATTCAGACCCCTTCACAATACCCCATAATGACAAAGCGAAAACAGGTTTTAAGACATTTTTTCAAATGTATTACAAATGAATAACAGAAATACCTTATTTACATAAATATTTGGACCCTTTGCTATGAGACTCGAAATTGAGCTCAGGTGCATCCTGTTTCCATTGATCATCCTTGAGATGTTTCTACAACTTGATTGGAGTCCGCCTGTGGTACATTTTATTGATTGGACATGATTTGGAAGGCACACTTCTGTCTATATAAGGTCTCACAGTTGACAGTGCATGTCAGAGCAAAAACCAAGCCAAGAGGTCGAAATAATTGTCCGTAGAGCTCCGAGACAGGATTGTGTCGAGGCACAGATCTGGGGAAGGGTACCAAAAAATTTCTACAGCATTGAAGGTCCCCAAGAACACAGTGGCCATCATTCTTAAATGTAATAAGTTTGGAACCACCAGACACTTCCTAGAGCTGGCTGCCCGGCCAAACTGAGGAATTTGGGGGAGAAGGGCCTTGGTCAGGGAGGTGACCAAGAATCTGATGGTCACTCTGACAGAGTTCCTCTGTGGAGATGGGCGAACCTTCCAGAAGGACAATCATCTCTACAGCACTCCACCAATCAGGCCTTTATGGTAGAGTGGCCAGACGGAAGCCAGTAAAAGGCACATGACAGCCCGCTTGGAGTTTGCCAAAAGGCACCTAAAGGACTCTCAGACCATGAGAAACAAGATTCTCTGGTCTGATGAAACCAAGATTGAACTCTTTGGCCTGAATGCCAAAAGTCACGTCTGGAGGAAACCAGGCACCGCTCATCACCTGGCCAAAACCATCCCTACGGTGAAGCATGGTGGTGGCAGCATCATGCTGTGGGGATGTTCTTCAGCGGCAGGGACTGGGAGACGAGTCAGGATCGAAGGAAAGATTAACGGAGAAAAGTACAGAGAGATCCTTGATGAAGAGAACCTGCTCCAGAGAGCTCAGGACCTCAGACTGGGTTCCCTTCCAACAGGACAAAGACCCTAAGCACACAACCAAGACAACGCAGGAGTGGCTTCGGGACAGGTCTCTGAATGTCCTTGAGTGGCCCAGCCAGAGCCCGGACTTGAACCCGATCGAACATCTCTGGAGAGACCTGAACATAGCTGTGCGGCGACGCTCCCCATCTAACCTGATAGAGCTTGAGAGGATCTGCAGATACTTATGTAATTGTGATATTTCAGTTGCTGTTTCTTTTGCAAAAATGTATACAAACCTGTTTTTGCTTTGTCATTATGGGGTATTGTGTGTAGATTGATGAGGGAAAAAACAATTTAATCAATTTAAGAATAAGGCTTAAACGTAACAAAATAAGGAAAAAGTGAAGAGGTCTGAATACTTTCCGAATGCACTGTAAGTCACTATTTTCAAAGCCGAGAGGTTAGGCGTGTAATAAATCATTCTGAGGTGTATACAGTGAGGACATAACCAACATGACAGGTATGATGGGTCAATGGTGCAAAGCATGAGGTGCCAAAACATACACCTGAGTGAGTAGTAGTACGATGTGATGGATCAGGAAAACATATTTACATATGTATGTATTCCATATTCCCTGAATGATTGATATTCTCAGTGAGAGGGGTTCAATTCTCCCATCGCTTCAGTTTGTCACATAAGTGCAATGTATCACAGAGGTTGACTGACCCTGAGGGAGATGGGGGAGCATTCATTTTGAGTACCGGTTGACGTGAAAAACATAAACGATATTTGGACCACCAGGGCTCTCTGTCACTGCACCAGCGTGGATAGATTTATGAATTGGCGTAGGAGCAGGGTGAGTGATGGCTTGACACTAGATGGATATAACAGTAATTTGAGGAGATTTATAAACACACAGAGCAAAGTGGTGACTGAAGTCCTTCAATGTGTCCTTCCTCAAAGAAACCAAACATGGCGTGGACAAGCGGGAGACAATAGCCTTCTTTGAAAGTCTGCATTTGTAACATTAGGCAAACCGCCCAATCATTTTCCTCCCTGTCCGACTTCTGTAAAAACCAACGTTATCATCATTGATCACCCGGAAATCAATCTGCCTGCTCAGTCCCATTAAAATACAGTAAATCACACATGCCTTTTGCATCAACAAGGTCAAAAAGCTATTTTTGAGCCATTGATTACTCTCAACGAATGGAAACATTTTTGTTTCTAAGCATCTTTGAGTCTCAGTGCATTGAATACATTGTTGTTCCCTTGTTGCCCAGGCATCTATGCCAGGCTTTGTAACAACAGTAGGCTCATATTGCTAGAGAGCAGCTGTGTGGCCTAAGTGGCTGGCAGCATCAGACACCCACTCTAGTATATCAACTTTCTCCTGGTACTTCAAAACTAAGCTCAAGCCTCCGATCTGCATTAGTAACATATTGCCAGTCCAGCTGGTGTTGTTCTCATGAAAATACTACATTGGTGGCTAAAATATATATTTTTGAAAATAAGTTGTTAAAAGGAAAACAGTATGAAGTTAGATCAGTCTTTAGATATAACTTCAGATCACTAAAGACACACATATCAATGAAATGAAATTCAATGTTACACATCATTTACACCTCTCTAATGTCTCCTTTTGAATTTCAATCATCACACTGGCAATAAGCACTGGTAACATAACAACAATGCTAAGACAAACACTAAAGAGAACATGTCAATATAACATCATCCATCATTAATCAGAAATCCCATATCTCCTTTATCCTCAAACATTACATAACATACAGTATGGTATAACACTCTGAATCTCAAACTGAACTCTCCAAAATATTATCAAATATCTGAAAAAAAAAGCCTAAATAGCCTATCCTAAAATAAAAATTCATGCATACCTTGTTTGTGACAGTTGATTCCCTATCACGTTCTGCTAAAAGTGTGTCTCTGTGTCTACCCTAGCAACATGTCCCTGACCAAATCATGCTAATCAGCCATGATCAATAATTCATCCAGTAGTAATCAGCAATGTGATCTAGTTTTAAATATTCAGGTGCCAGATGTATCCAGTCATAAATGAGGTAGATATGAAGCCTCTCAGGTTGCACACAGGTAACCAGGAAGTTCTGGATAGTTACAAGGTCACGTGACCCACACGTCTCCAATCAGTAAATAAACCCTACCTCACTGACACTCTTGATAAAATACTTGACTTTGGATTCAGACAACTCTTGATCTTCATTGAAATTCTAAATGGCTAAAATACTATTTTATTTTTCTATTTAACCTTTATTTAACCAGGTAAGCCAGTTGAGAACAAGTTCTCATTTACAACTGCGACCTGGCCAAGATAAAGCAAAGCAGTGCGATAAAAACAACAACAACATAGAGTTACATATGGAATAAACAAAAACAAAACGTACAGTCAATAACACAATAGAAGATCTATATACAGTGTGTGCAAATGTAGTAAGTTATGGAGGTAAGGCAATAAATAAGCCATAGTGCAAAATAATTACAATTTAGTATTAACACTGGAGTGATAGATGTGCAGAAGATGATGTGCAAATAGAGATACTGGGGTGCAAATGAGCAAAATAAATAACAATGTAAATAACAATATGGGGATGAGGTAGTTGGGTGGGCTAATTACAGATGGGCTGTGTACAGGTGCAGTGATCGATAAGCTGCTCTGACAACTGATGCTTAAAGTTAGTGAGGGAGATAAGTGTCTCCAGCTTCAGAGATTTTTGCAGTTCGTTCCTATATTTAATGTGCAATTGTGTAATGTCTTGGTGGTACTTAAATTGCACAAGCTACATTGCAGTGTGTTGCAATGCAATGTACTCATTTGCTGAATGGTTAGCAGCAAACACAATACTTATTTCACATGAGCAACGAACACCAGCAGTCATGTTGCTATGAGTACAAAGCCCATGGGGAACACAGAGATAAAAGACGATCACACAGACTGAACACAAAAGATAACCGCTGCCTCGCTTCCACAACAGCTTCCATTTCATACAGATAACTGTCAGTATATCATGAATAGATCAGATTTTAAATTGAACTGACGTTGTTGAATCTACCCCATGCAAACAATTCATACATCAACACAAAATGTAACCTGTTTTCATATAAGCCCAAATTCGAGAGATTGACATATTCCCTACACCTGAGACTATTGTGTATTAACAGCAAAATACTGTGTATCTTATCACCACAGCAATGAGAGAGAAACCATTCCTACAACCATTCTCCCAAATGGATGCGAGATAAACCAATGTCTGGGAGACAATGAAAGAGCGCTCTTGCAGAACAGGACACCAGAGCTGCCTGATGGCAAGGCTCTGGTTACTCATTGTCTACGACACTGTGTCAACAACATGTGGGGAAAAAAGAGATGTCGTAAAGAATGCAATGCTCTTAATACATGCAAACAATGCAGTTGGATACCCCAGCCAACATAATCATGTTTATAAAACATTTATTATAAATGTATTACATTGTTATGTGCACTCAGCATCATTGAAGGATAAAGCCAAAAGCATTTGCCAGGAGTTTACAACAATGCACTCAATATTGGAGCCAGTAGATGTGACAATACAACATTCAATGTATTTCCCCAGCTACTGATACGGTATAGGTATATTTTGCATGGTTCACCAAATCGCTATGATTCTTCATAGGCACAACCAAACAGGTCATGTGACCAGTTACTGTAATACAGATTACCTTCCACTCTGGACTGCAACCAGAGCGCAGTGTAAGAGGATAATCTAACTCACACACACTCTCTCTCCCTATCCCACCCTCACACTCTCTCTCCCTATCCCACCCTCACACTCCCTATCCCACCCTCACACTCCCTATCCCACCCTCACACTCTCTCTCCCAACCTGACTGGTAATTTTGGTCTGTAGCAAAAATACTCAGTTCTTCCCAACTTTAATCCCTGTTAAGGGGATATGAATGGGGCTTTACAGTACTGTAAACCTCCATCAATGTGTCAAACTTGAATCGTCATGTCCTTGCAATAACCCTGTCTGACCAGTGACCACAGTCATGGAGAGATTACAGTGGTGGAGATGAAATGTGTTGCATCCCTTTATTCAAACCTCATTGTATACAGGTAAGGCTACTTCTGGCATAGGCACACTACGTACTGATGTAACACTAATATCATACTACAGGATACTGTATGATAGCCTGATCCATGACTATCCTGACCGCTGCACTCTCGTTTCGTGTAGCGAAACAGACTGTAAACTTGCGAGACTTCAGGATGGTTGTACAGTAGGAGGCTAAGGCTAACTGTATGATATGTAGTGGCGAAAGCCAACGTGTGAAGAACTGAGTATCTGATCTGGTCTCTCACCATATCCTGCCGTGTAGGTGGAAAAACTCTTTTGCCTTGAGGTGATTTTCGTCAGTGTTTCCATGTCTCCTGAGCATTGAGTAAAAACAACACACCCTATCGTCAATACTGTACATGGATGCCATGTGTGCCTGTATTTGATCATTTAGGTTTATATGCAACATGAGTTTGTAAAAGGCAGTAGCAGAGTCTATACAGGAGGCCTGTGTGAATGCAAGTGGCTTGGTGTTGGGTGATGAGGTCCATTCATGTTTGGCCATGAGTTTAATCTAGTACAGTGGGGGAAAAAAAGTATTTAGTCAGCCACCAATTGTGCAAATTCTCCCACTTAAAATTTTTTTTGAGACGCCTGTAATTTTCATCATAGGTACACGTCAACTATGACAGACAAATTGAGAAAAAAAATCCAAAAAATCACATTGTAGGATTTTTAATGAATTTATTTGCAAATGATGGTGGAAAATAAGTATTTGGTCACCTACAAACAAGCAAGATTTCTGGCTCTCACAGACCTGTAAATTCTTCTTTAAGAGGCTCCTCTGTCCTCCACTCGTTACCTGTATTAATGGCACCTGTTTGAACTTGTTATCAGTATAAAAAGACACCTGTCCACAACCTCAAACAGTCACACTCCAAACTCCACTATGGCCAAGACCAAAAAGCTGTCAAAGGACACCAGAAACAAAATTGTAGACCTGCACCAGGCTGGGAAGACTGAATCTGCAATAGGTAAGCAGCTTGGTTTGAAGAAATCAACTGTGGGAGCAATTATTAGGAAATGGAAGACATACAAGACCACTGATAATCTCCCTCGATCTGGGGCTCCACGCAAGATCTCACCCCGTGGGGTCAAAATGATCACAAGAACGGTGAGCAAAAATCCCAGAACCACACGGGGGGACCTAGTGAATGACCTGCAGAGAGCTGGGACCAAAGTAACAAAGCCTACCATCAGTAACACACTACGCCACCAGGGACTCAAATCCTGCATTGCCAGACGTGTCCCCCTGCTTAAGCCAGTACATGTCCAGGCCCGTCTGAAGTTTGCTAGAGTGCATTTGGATGATCCAGAAGAGGATTGGGAGAATGTCATATGGTCAGATGAAACCAAAATAGAACTTTTTGGTAAAAACTCAACTCGTTGTGTTTGGAGGACAAAGAATGCTGAGTTGCATCCAAAGAACACCATACCTACTGTGAAGCATGGGGGTGGAAACATCATGCTTTGGGGCTGTTTTCTGCAAAGGGACCAGGACGACTGAGCCGTGTAAAGGAAAGAATGAATGGGGCCATGTATCGTGAGATTTTGAGTGAATTTGGGGCTGTTTTCTGCAAAGGGACCAGGACGACTGATCCGTGTAAAGGAAATAATTAATGGGGCCATGTATCGTGAGATTTTGAGTGAAAACCTCCTTCCATCAGCAAGGGCATTGAAAATGAAACGTGGCTGGGTCTTTCAGCATGACAATGATCCCAAACACACCGCCCGGGCAACGAAGGAGTGGCTTCGTAAGAAGCATTTCAAGGTCCTGGAGTGGCCTAGCCAGTCTCCAGATCTCAACCCCATAGAAAATCTTTGGAGGGAGTTGAAAGTCCGTGTTGCCCAGCGACAGCCCCAAAACATCACTGCTCTAGAGGAGATCTGCATGGAGGAATGGGCTAAAATACCAGCAACAGTGTGTGAAAACCTTGTGAAGACTTACAGAAAACGTTTGACCTGTGTCATTGCCAACAAAGGGTATATAACAAAGTATTGAGAAACTTTTGTTATTGACCAAATACTTATTTTCCACCATAATTTGCAAATAAATTCATAAAAAATCCTACAATGTGATTTTCTGGATTTTGTCTGTCATAGTTGACGTGTACCTATGATGAAAATTACAGGCCTCTCTCATCTTTTTAAGTGGGAGAACTTGCACAATTGGTGGCTGACTAAATACTTTTTTTCCCCACTGTATTTTCTTAAAGGTCCAATGCAGCTGTTTTTAATCTCAATATCAAATCATTTCTGGGTAACAATAAAGTACCTTACTGTGAATATAATTGTAAACACACTAAAATCACAACAATAGCTTCTTAGGAAAGAGCAATTTCTCAAGCAAGAATTGTGCTAGGACTGGCTGGGAGTAGTCTGAGTGGGGAGGGGAAAACCGAAATGTAGATGTTATTGGCAGAGAGGTTTGGAACTCTCTTTCTTATTGGTCTTTTAACTAATTTACCGCCTGGTGATGTCACCAGACAGGCCAAAACTCCATCCCACCTAAACAGGCTGAAGTTTCAGGCGCTCTTTTCGAACAGCTCTTACACTAAAAGGGCATTATCATTTTCACAGTATTATTACAACCTCATAGTGTGTAAATATACACTGAGTGTACAAAACCTTAGGAAGACCTTCCTACTATTGAGTTACACCACCTTATGCCCTCCGAACAGCCTCAATTCGTCAGGGCATGGACTCTACAAGGTGTCGAAAGCATTCCCCAGAGATGCTGGCCCATGTTGACACCAATGCTTCCCACAGTTGTGTCAAGTTGGTTGGATGCCCTTTGGATGGTGGACCATTGATGATACACGTGGGAAACGGTTGAGCGTGAAAAACACAGCAGCGTCGCAGTTCTTGACACAAACCGGTGCGCCTGGCACGTACTACCATAGCCCGTTCAAAAGCACTTAAACATTTTGTCTTGCTCATTCACCCTCTGAATGGCACACATACACAATCAATGTCTTAATTGTCTAAGGCTTAAAAATCATTCTTTAACCTGTCTCCTCCCCTTCATATACGCTGGTTGAAGTGGATTTAACAGGTGACATCAATAAGGGATCATAGATTTCACCTGGATTCACCTGATCAGTCTATGTAATGCAAATAGCAGGTGTTCCTAATGTTTTTAACACTCAGTGTATATAAAACACAGGAAAAACACGTTTTTGACTGCACTGGGCCTTTAAAGCCTCCATGTAAGCTTTATGTCAGCCTACAGTAGCTTAACTTATTATTTGCAAGGTACTGTAGGCACGTTTGTTATTGGTACTGCTGCTTAAGGAAAAAAAATAACAACTTGATTTCCTTTCAGACTATTTACATTTAATTTTTAAATATTGCAGTCATGTACACTAACGGTCAAAAGTTTTAGAATACCTACTCATTCAAGGGTTTTTCTTTATTTTTACTATTTTCTACACTGTAGAATAATAGTGAAGACATCAAAACTACGAAATAACACATATGGAACCATGTAGTAACCAAAAAAGTGTTAAACAAATACAAATATATTTTATATTTGAGATACTTCAAATAGCCACCCTTTGCCTTGATGACAGCTTCGCACACTCCTGGCATTCTCTCAAACAGCTTCATTAGGTAGTCACCTGGAATGCATTTCAATTAACAGGTGTGCCTTCTTAAAAGTTAATTTGTGGAATTTCTTTCCTTCGTAATGTGTTTGAGCCAATCAGTTGTGTTGTGACAAGGTAGGGGGTTATACAGAAGATAGCCCTCTTTGGTAAAAGACCAAGTCCATATTATGGCAAGAACAGCTCAAATAAGCAAAGAGAAACGACAGTCCATCATTACTTTAAGACATGAAGGTCAGTTAATATGGAACATTTCAAGAACTTTTAACATTTCTTCAAGTGCAGTCGCAAAAACCATCAAGCGCTATGATGAAACTGGCTCTCATGAGGACCGCCACAGGAATGGAAGACCCAGAGTTACCTCTGCTGCAGACGATAAGTTCATTAGAGTTACCAGCCTCAGAAATTCCAGCCCCAAATAAATCCTTCACAGAGTTCAAGTAACACACAAATCTCAACAACAACTGTTCAGAGGAGACTGTGAATCAGGCCTTCATGGTTGAATTGCTGCAAAGAAACCACTACTAAAGGACACCAATAATAAGAAGAGACTTGCTTGGGCCAAGAAACACGAGCAATGGACATTAGACCAGTGTAAATTTGTCCTTTGGTCTGGAGTCCAAATTGGAGATTTTTGGTTCCGTGTCTTTGTGAGATGCGGTGTGGGTGAACGGATGATCTCAGCATGTGTATTTCCCACCGTAAAACACGGAGGAGGAGGTGTTATGGTGTGGGGGTGCTTTGCTGGTGACACTGTCTGTGATTTATTTAGAAGGCACACTTAACCAGCATGGCAACCACAGCATTCCGCAGCGATACGCCATCCCGTCTGGTTTGGGCTTAGTGGGACTGTTTTTCAACAGGACCTTGAGCCAACACACCTCCATGCTGTGTAAGGGCTATTTTACCAAGAAGGAGAGTGATGGAGTGCTGCATCAGATGACCTGGCCTCCACAATCCCCCAACCTCAACCAAATTGAGATGGTTTGGGATGAGTCGGACCGCAGAGTGAAGGAAAAGCAGCCAACAAGTGCTCAGCTTATGTGGGAACTCCTTCAAGACTGTTGGAAAAGCGTTCCAGGTGACGCTGGTTGAGAGAATGCCAAGAGTGTGCAAAGCTGTCATCAAGGCAAAGGGTGGCTATTTGAAGAATCTAAAATATATTCTGATTTGTTTAACACTTTTTTGGTTACTACAGTTGAAGTCGGAAGTTTACATACACCTTAGCCAAATACATTTAAACTCAGTTTTTCACAATTCCTGACATTCAATCCTAGTATAAATTCCCTGTCTTAGGTCAGTTAGGATCACCACTTTATTTTAAGAATGTGAAATGTCAGAATAGTAGTAGAGAGAATGATTTATTTAAGCTTTTATTTATTTCATCACATTCCCAGTGGGTCAAAAGTTTACATACACTCAATTAGTATTTGGTAGCATTGCCTTTAAATTGTTTAACTTGGGTAAAACGTTTCGTGTAGCCTTCCAAAAGCTTCTCACAATAAGTTGGGTGAATTTTGGCCCATTCCTCCTGACAGAGCTGGTGTAACTGATTCAGGTTTGTAGGCTTCCTTGCTCGCACACGCTTTTTCAGTTCTGCCCACACATTTTCTATAGGATTGAGGTCAGGGCTTTGTGATGGCCACTCCAAATACCTTGACTTTGTTGTCCTTAAGCCATTTTGCCACAACTTTGGAAGTATGCTTGGTCCATTTTG